ATCTCATTGTTGCCTACCTGCCTGCCTATTTCTATTTAGGTTTGCACTTGCGAATCATCAATCATCACACTTTCTTTCTTTCTTTCTTTTCTAACCCTAACCTTAAGGGTTTACAAATCATTTGTTTTTTCCCCCTTTGTTTTCTTTCTCGTGAACTGTAGACGTGCGTGCGTGCGTGCTTGTGAGGGAGGGTAGCATGTATGCACGTATGCGGTGCAGTGTTTTTCACGTTTGGGTGCGGATAATTAGTTACGGATGGTGGATGAATGGGGAGATTGATTTGTAATGGGTGAGATGATGATTAAATTGATTTTATGGTGGGATAAATAGATGAGATGAGATGCAATGCAAATGCAGTCAACAAAGTACCTAGGTAGTAAGCAATAGAAAAGCTTTCGGGCAACCATTCATTTACTTGTCCGCCACGTGATTCGTGAAGGGTTCTTAGCGATCCCAGAGATCGGGAGCAGCCGCAGCTTGGCAGCCGTGCAGTGCTTGGCAGCAGCAGCAGCAGCAGCGGCGGCGGCGGCGGCGGCGGCAGCCGTGCAGTAGTGCAGTAGCTTGGCAGTAGTGCAGTAGCTTGGCAGTAGTGCAGTAGCTTGGCAGTAGTGCAGTAGCTTGGCAGTAGTGCAGTAGCTTGGCAGCAGCAGCAGCAGCAGCCGCAGCTGCTGCGGTGTGACGTAGCGCTTAGCATGCGCACGGACGGTAATGATAGCTTTTTTACCACCGGGCCAAACTGCCCTAAAAGGGTACAAGAATAGGTTGGAAGCCTATTCTGCTATTATACTATATATGGCTACGACCGCAACTATAACAAGCGGCGGCGGTATAGTTAGAAAAGAAAGAAAGAAAGAAAGTGTGATGATTGATGATTCGCAAGTGCAAACCTAAATAGAAATAGGCAGGCAGGTAGGCAACAATGAGATGGGAGTTAACATCAAAAATCAAAGTGTTGTTGTTGTTGACCCCAGGAAAGCGGCGAGGGTGGCGTAAATAGCGAGGCTGGAGATGGATGATGGTGATTGAAGATGGGTGGAGGGTGGTGTTGCTCTAATGCGATATGATGCATTCCTTCATTGGTAGCAGGATGCCTCGAGACCGCCCAAGGACTGGACTGAGTTCTCGACTTGGTTAAGTTGTCTTAGCCCAGACCTCAACATCAGCATCAACAGTGAATCCTTCACGACGGGCGGCGCGACGGCGCTGGATGGCCTCGGACTTGCGTGGCTTCAACTTAAAGTCTGGGAAGTTTTGCTTGTGGAACATCTTCTCATTATAAGCCATCTCGACGTAGAGACCCTTGAGTTCAACATCCATAGTAGTCCACTCTTTTGCGATGATGCTAGCTATTTATTGTCAGACTTGTAATGAAAAGAACATCCAACAAGGAACTTACACAGTTCAGACGTGTGGAGGGTGGGGTTGTCATTCTTGACGTCGGCGTGGCGAGAGGCACGGTAGATGATCCAGGGGTTACGAGGCTTGCAAGTCTTCTTGACGATCTTACCCTTCTTGTTGAGGTAGGGGAAGACAGGGTAAGCTGGGCGAGGTGGGGGTTGGCCAGCTGGGATGGGAGCAGGAAAGGGTCCAGGGCCAACTCCGAAGCACTTAAAGCAACCATTGCTTCGGAAGTAGGTGCCGTTGGGGTCTGGGACGTGTTCACCCATGGCCATGCCTGCGTGAACTGCAATGACATCTTCATCGTCGATGACTTGACCAATGCGGTATACGTTGGCCTCGCACATGAGGTGGACGTATGCACGAAGCTCAGTGACAACCCTAAAACCAATTAGCCGCAGTTGAAGTCGTGACGTGGCAATAACTTACTCGATGGCTTTGGCCATGGCCCGAAGGACATGCTCACCATTTGGCCAAGTGATTGCATCGGCATCGGCAAAATAAATGACTTTCATGCCACGCTTGAACATCGCCTTAATCTGCTTGCGGAAGCTTTCAGGCAAGAGAGCATCGGCGAACATGACATTCATCAATTCTGTCGCGGCCTGGTGAGCACCTGGAACACCCGCGATGGTGTTGGGGGCTGCGCCGATGGAAGCGCTATTCGGAGACATCCTGGTCGCTTTTGAAGTTGAAATTTGACTTTGGATTTCGAAGATGATTGAAGAATGAAACAGTGATTCAAAGACAACTGATGACGTTTGGAAAGGCGAAGCAATCGTAATGTCGCGACCGAAGTTGTTGTTGTTGTTTGTTTATCGAGAGGAAGAAAAAATTCTCGAAGAGGAGGGCTGCGATCTAAGTGTGGGAAATGGCGCTAAAATTTTCAAGCGAGACCGCCTAGCTTATTTGAAAGTGACGTGGTGTTTTTATAGAAGCCCTTGAGAATTCAGGCGGATCTATTTTTGCGAGACGGTGAAGATTTTCTTTCCAGTGCATCCATCTGGTGAACACCATTCTTTCCCGGGTTTGTGCAAGTCATATTTCTTTAACATAACGCTGTTTGTATCTTGTATTATTGCAAGTCTCAAACTACTAGCATAGCAAATGGCAGTCACAGCTTTTGCCTGATGGTGGCCCTGTCTCTTAATATGTATTTCTGTGAAAGCTGCATCACAACCATGGCAAGACTTCGGTTCGACTATGGTACAAATGGTATCAGAACACGATCATGGATCGCGGATCACTACATAGTTTAACACCTCGCAGGATCAAGTTGGTCTCTGTCTAGTGCCGTGTAGTGTTCTAGCCCCGAGGCACTATATGCGAGGCTCATGAAACGAATTTTTCATGAATAGCATTATGATGTCTCGATCAGCGAATATATCTGCAGCCAGGAAAACCAATGACACGGGGGCCGGTCTCAATACACCAGCACCAGAAGACAATATGCAACAAAGGAGTATAGTCCCAACGCACTTGCATACCAATTAGTATCTTTCGAATTGCTCTTGCGGTCATTACTGCACGGCTACGAGATGAATGAACTCGAAGCAGACAAGTACCAGTGCATTCAAGTCTTAAACAAAGGCAAAATGTCTTGAGCAGACACTTGTGTTGATTGACCATCCCACAAAGTACTACCAAGAGTTGATCGGCACAGGACACGAATCAGAAAGTCAAAATCTGTGTCGACATGCTCGCATCATCACCACAGCTTAAAGATCTAGCCAAGTTGCAACCTACATTCGAATATTCATCGTTGAAGACCAATCAAGCAACAATGCTAGTATGGGGCAACTTATTGCTCATAAGTCAACAGAGGCGAAAGATACTATATCTAACACTGAGAGTAAAGTGCTACTCACTTGACACTCTGCGATTCAGCATGTTATGCTCAGTCAGCCCTACTCGTGCTAAAGTCTCAACTCACCGCAACATAGTTTCTGAACATAGTTTCTGAACATAATTAGACTGTGCCACTTGGAAGCATGCTAAGTAACGCATACAATCTTCATATCATGACAGCGCTTGTACTCCGTTGGACATTCCTTCCTCCTCACAGTCGTGGAAATAAAATTAACCTCCTGCTCGTCTAGTGATTATCGCTGAGGAAAGCACGGACCGGATATTGAACACAGCTTCTCGAGGTTTCAGGAATGGACAAAGCAACTCCAGTAGAGATTGGGGTAGATCTCGAGCCTGGCCTAGGAGAAGTTTGGAATCCTCTGATGTAGTAAAGTGTTGACTATCGCACCCTACCTGTGATAGCAGATGCTAAGAAGTATTCGTTGTGACCAGAAGAGAATGTTCGAATTGCAACCACCGCCACATTCCCAAAGGGTGCGATGGAATGTACTAGTGTCTTTCAGTCCTTTGTCTCTTGTACCACTGGACAAAGAGTCTGCGTTTCCTTGTCAGACAAAAAACCACCCCACTCCATCATCGCCCACTCCATCGCCCTCGCCCTCGCCCTCGCCCTCGCCCACCATGTCAGATACACGGTACAACAGAACATCCTTCATCCATCCATCCACGCGCTCAATTATACTTTTACACAACCATGTCCGCGTCCGCGTCCGTCCCGCCGCCCATGCAACACGACGAGTACATCGAGTATCATCATCATCATCATCATCGCCCCCCGCCCCCCCCACCGTCATCATCATCAGATGGCGGCGGCGGCGGCCGTCATTCACGACGGGTGGTGGTGGTGGTCCCCCCGCCGCCCCCGCCCCCGCCCCCCAGAACCAGGAAGGCACTGAATTCCTGGATGGCTTTCAGAGGTGAGTTGAGCTGACCCTGATCCTGACCCTGACCCCCCAACTATGTATGGCTCTCTTTGCTTTGCTTGTGTACTGAACGGATTGTAGCCTATTACAGAAGTATATTCGCCCCATTCAAGATGCAACAAAAGGACGCGTCGCGGCACCTCACCGTCCTGTGGCGGCGCGACCCCTTCAAGGCCAGGTGGGCCGTGATCGCCGCGGCGTACAGCCGGATCCGGGACCAGGTTGGGAAGCCGGATGCGCCGCTGAGTGGGTACCTGGCCATCGTGTGTCCGAGGATGGGGATCGTGGACAGCGAGAGGTATCTGAGGAGCAGCAACAACAAGCTGAACTACTGGGCGGCGGCGGGGGCGGCGGCGTCGGCGTGTCGTCGTCAAGTGATGAAGAAGAAGGACGACGATGACGGTCTTGTTGTCTGGCAACAACAACAACAACACCAAGAATTGGACCCCGCCAGGTGGTTCACGGCAACCTTCGACCACCACCACCACCACCACGACACACTCTACTCCTCCATGTTGACATCGATCGACGATATCGTCGAGTTTTGCGCAAGCTTGGGATACATCTCTCGAACGTCTTTCGTGGCTCTCCAAAGGGCGCATCATCTGGCGAACGGTAGTAGTAGTAACAATCGATCATCATCGCCGAATCCATCATCGTCGAATGCCAGACAGGGCCTCCTTGTTTCTGGCCCACCAACAACAACAACAACGCTGGCGGCGGTACCACCAAACTCTGCTGCACCACCCTCGACGCTCGGTATCGCTCCTGCTGCTATCGTGATGCACCCAGCAGTTTCCGGTAGCTTCCTGGGGGTCAATTCGATCCCGATCTCTCAAAACCTCCCTCTGCAGCAGCCGTGGACGGGGAACATGTCGGAAGTCTACTTCCCGGCAGTAGGCAGTGCTGATTTCGAGCGAGCGGGCTTATCCAGTGCACCCCAAAGGCTGGGTGAGGACTGAAGCAAACGTGTAATCTTTCCCGTCGAGAGTCGAGAAGATGCAGCTGGCTGTCGTGGGTAGTTGAATCGAGATGATTTTTGGCAACAATAGGAGGGATGGATGGGATGGCTGTTGCCTCCTAAGGCACTAAAAAAAGGTCCAACTCCAAGCTTCGAAAATACGAAACTCAGATCCCCGACGTTCAGTTCCCTTTTCTCAAAACTGCTAGCCAAGCTACCACCTTGTTTCGGGGTATGCCCTTTGGCCGACCGTGCACCCGCAGTGGCTCGTCATACCAGTAATTACGCATACCGTCTCGAATACGCCGCGCAACTTCCAGGGTAAAGCTCCGATCGGGCTGTCCACTCTGGCCGTTTTGTGCCCACATCTCTGTGCTAAAACTTCGAATAAAGTCGATTCCAAATCGGTTGCGCTCTGGATATAACCTCTCCCCACGATCCATCCTCAATCCAACCCGGTGAATAAGCGTCTCTAGCTCTTGCTTACATACTTCCCACGAATCTGAATCGGCAACCTCCCAGGAAAAAAGTTGATTACCACTGAGGTCGTCGAAACCAAGAACGCCCAACTCGTCACTACTAACAGGGTGGTCGATGACGAGACGCCCATTAGGTGCGAGGAACTCCGCCCACATCGCGACATGCTCGTGGGACCGAGTTAGTCCACTGCCCCAAAGACATGTAATAACATCAAAACCCGAACAATTCGGACCTTTGATTCTTTGAAGAACCTCTTTATCCCTAACATCCCCCTGTATAAGTTCGATAAGACCTGAAAATCCGGCTGCCTCCGCTCCTTTTCTCGCCTCGTCGAGCATCGCTGGATTAAAGTCGATGGCAGCTACTCGGCCATCTTGTACTCGTTTCCTCGCCTCGAGCGCAACATATCCAGTGCCAGTGCACAAGTCTAGCACGCTCTCCCCTGCCTTCAGGCAAGCAAACTGGACCAATCTCTCCACGTCCACCATATGAAATTGACAAGACATATTATATAGGTCCGCCATTGTATGGGGGTAGCAGGTGACTTCGCACGCGTGGAGAAAGGAGAAGCGGATGTCGAAAAGGCGAACGCAATGGTAAGGAAGGCACTGTATGGGAATCAGCTCAAGTCTCTCAGGGGGACTGGAGGTGAGGGTTGGTAGAAGTACCTATGAGGAGATATGTGCACGGCTACGCTGTGAGTTGGAACAGGCGCGTTATAACGGACGGTGGAAGCGTTAGATCCAATGTCGTGTCGTGGCAGACGTTAGATGAATCAGATCGTGGTTGACTTCGATTTTGGTTGTGCGACGTTCCTCCTCCTCGTCCTTGTCAAGTGATGAAGAAGAAGGACGACGACGGTCTTGTTGTCTGGCAACAACAACCGCAAAGAAGGAAACAATCGCAAAAGGTGGAAGGTGGAAGGTGGAAGAAGGAAGGGAAATGGAAGATGGAAGATTTTCAGTTTATGAAGACGTGTTGTGGTCGGTGGCCTTGGAAAGGAATGTGTAGAGGTTGTGAGGTGGTGAGGTGAAGATGGAGATGGAAGATGGAGATGGAAGATTTTCAGTTCATGAAGACAATCTGCTGGTGTGGTCGGCGGCCTTGGAAAGGAATGTGCAGAGGTTGTGAGGTGGAAGATGTGAGGTCGTGAGGTGGAAGATGTGAGGTCGTGAGGTGAAGATGGAGATGGAAGATGAAGAAGGAAGATGGAAAATGGACACGTGTTGTGGGCGCGGCTTTGTCATCATCCGCGCTAGCGAGGCTAGCCAATCACACACTAGGAAAGAGTAAGGAGGCGAGGCAGGCATGAATGCATGATGTCACGGGATCTCTGGATCACGTGATGAGTCACGTGATGGAGTTTTACTCTAGGGTAAAACTTCATCCGGAGGTTTGACTCCTCGTGCGGAGAGTTCTATATAAGCAGCTTGCGACGCTTTGGGAGATGGGGTGTGCTCAACTTCGTTAATATTCTTGACTTCGAATACAATTGCCTCATTTTACTTTATTCACCATACCAACCCACGTGACCTCACACAGAGTGAGGGTAGAGACGTAACACATGAATGAAGGAATAAAGGAATGAATGAATAAATGAATAAAGAAATAAATGAAGAAATGAATAAATAAAGGAATGAATGAATGGAGGAATAAATGAATGAATAAATAAATAAATAAAAGCATAAATAAATGAATGAATGAATGAATGAAGGAATGATTGAACGATTAATTGGAGCCAGTCACTCTGTCTATGGATCTATCTGAACGATTGGTTGATTAAAGTCAGTCAGTCTGTCTATGGATCTATCTGTGGCACCTGGACTCTGAACGATTGTTGATGGGAGTCAGTCAGTCAGTCTATGTATCTATCTGATGGATTGATTGATGGAGGAGACCTTGTAAAATCCATCAATCAATCCATCAATCGTTCAGATAGATACATCCAACAAAGAATGGAGGAACGTCGGACGGAGAGCACGGGTTACCGTGGCCTAGGATGGCGCGAAAAATCATCTCGATTCAACTACCCAAGACAGATAAGCCCGCTCGCTCGAAATCAGCACTGCCTACTCAGGGCAGTAAAGTTCCGACATGTTTCCCGTCCACTGCTGCTGCTGCAAAGGTAGGAGGTTTTGGTTTTCGGGGACAGCCAGAGAGGTCGGGATCGAATTGGCCACCACGAAGCTATCGGAAACTGCTGGGTGCATCATGATAGCAGCAGAAGTGGTATCGATCGTCGAGGGTGGTGGTGCAGCAGAGTTTGGTGGTACCGCCAGCGTTGTTGGGGGGCCAGAAACAAGGAGGCCCTGTCTGGACTTTGGAACGTAGGAGAGCGTGTTTCCACCACGAAAGGGATCTTGCCGCTGTGTCGAAGGAATATCTGTGTTCCATGTTGCTACATGGGAATTATCCTGCTCCGGAACGTAGGAGAGCGTGTTTCCACAACGAAAGGGATCTTGGGGTGGTGCAAAGCCGGCGAAGGACTGGACCGGGTGCTGATCAAGCGTCACCAAATGTTGTAGAATATGTTCTAGTTGTATCATATCCGATTCAAAGAGCGTGTTTCCACAACAAAAGGGATCTTGGGGTGATGCAAAGCCGGCGAAGGACTGGATCGGGTGCTGATCAAGCGTCACCGAATGTTGTGGGATGTGTTCTGGTTGTATCATATCCGATTTAGAGAGCGTGTTTCCACCACAAAAGGGATCTTGGTGTGGTGCAGCAAAGCCGGCGAAGGACTGGACCGGGCGCTGATCAAGCGTCACCGAATGCTGTGGGATGTGTTCTGGTGGTATCATTCGTCCTGAATGCTGTGCTTCGGACAGAGACTCCTCACTCTCCGATTCCGAGATCTGATCATCATCTAATGCGAAGCGGATAAACCCTTGGTGGCGGGACCCACGCTGGTGCTTGACCAGGGTCGCCTTGCGGCTGTAGCTACAGCCCATCAGCCGGAGTCAGGAATCAATGGAGGAATACGGACCTTTTTAAGCACCTTTTCTGAGTGCACTTGTATGGTCGTCTGCCCGTATGGATCCAGCGATGTTTTGTAAGACGGGAAGCCTGCATTCTTTTCGTGAGTAGAGTAACGTCAATAGATCTTGTCATTCTCTTACATCTGCAAATCCTTTACCGCAGCCAATCTGCGGGCATAAGTAAGGCTTCTCGCCTGTATGCGTTCGGGTGTGAATGGTGAGAGCGCTCCTCTGGCTGAAGCTCTTGCCACAACCCGGAGTTGGGCACAAGTGTGGTCGGTCCCCCGTATGGATACGGTAATGTCGCTGCAAGTCAGCGTTGCGGTAAAAACTCTGTACTTCTCAATTAGAGTGGCTCCGACGTTTTGATCACGGAGTATGTATACTTTGAAGCAGGTTTGCCAGTCACACTGTAATCGGCCCGCATGGTCCATGGTGTTGGATGATGAATGGATTCAAATATCTGGTTCTCTTTCGATCCAGGACCTCCGCCCGGTATAAGTGCAAATTCGAGAGGCATTTCCCGCATCTCAGAGGTGGACTGACTGCTCGTTGGAAGGAGAGAGCTCGGCTACACATTCCCAGCCTTATCAACATTTCCCTCCCAACCATCTTTGGCTGCTGCAAGACGGGCCATATCCAGCAAATGCGACCTCAGTCCACTCTGTCGGGAACGATTGATCGACGGATTGATTGGCAGTCCACTCGATCCGTGGCAACTGGGCGTGCACGCTATCTGTGTCACCTGGGACTCTCCTGCGCAAAAGCAAGCAAGCAAGCAAGCCAACGAACGAACGCAATTCATGCAGCAGAGGCCAAGAAAGGAACAATCGCACAAGACGGCAGGGCGATCTCTCTGACAAAACCGGGCGACCTTCATGGTGGCGTATGCAGAGAGAGAATTTCAGAGGTGCCCGTGTTGTGACGAGGCGCCTGGGGTCTCGATCCCTCCATTTGCCCTCCACTATTGGCCGCCACGTCCTTCCCACACGCTCCCGGACCGCTGCCGTCCGTCTCCAGATCCTCCACCAACATGCGGCTGGGCCACGATCGACGGCTGAGGGGAGTGAAAATACTTGAATTCAATTGTGATAACTGATGGAGGCGATTGTGAGTGCTGATTTCGAGCGAGCGGGCTTATTCAGTGCATCCCCAAAGGCTGGCTCCTTATGTCTGGGCTCTGGATTTTTTGTTTTGCCGGGTCATCCAGGCCGGAGCTATGGTTTGATGGCAATCACCACCGGCTAAAAGGAGTGAAAATACTTGAATTCAATTGTGATAGCTGATGAAAGCGATTGTGAGTGCTGATTTCGAGCGAGCGGGCTTATTCAGTGCACCCCAAGACTGGGTAAGGACTGAAGCAGACGTGCAATGTCTCGTCCAGAGTCGAGCAGATGCAGCTGGCTGGCTTGTCGTGGGTCGTTAGTTGAATCGAAATGATTTTTCCCGTGCTCCGTCCGACGTTCCTCCATCCCTCTTAGACATTGGTGAGCGTCAATGCAAAATGCCCCACCTCATCTTCAAATTTTCGTTGCACGACGCTCCTCCTCCTCGTCCTTCCTTGAGTCGAAAGCCCTTCACTTCTGCCCCGCGAACGAACCATTGCGGTCAATCGCATGCCTCAACCTCACCTCTGCTCGTAGCAGGATCAAGATCCGCGGCGTTGGAGCTGTTGAATCGGGGGCCTCACTCGGACCCGGGGGCTTGAATATAAAGGAGGGGGGAGGGGGGGGGACTTGCGGTGGTTTTGGTTCTAGTTCTGGTTTTGGTTCTGGTTCTGGTTCGGGCTCGGGAACGGTCGTCGTCTGACTTGTGGTGGGATCAAAATCCTCGGCGTTCTCGTCACCGTCGTCCACTCACGGGGGGAGGTAGCTTGGTGTGTGTTCGCTCGGGCAGGGGTGGTGGAGCTGGCTGAGGAGACGGAGCTGTTGAATCGGGGGCCTCACTCGGACCCGGGGGCTTGAAGGGGAGACGAGGGGGGACTTGCGGTGGTTCTGGTTCGGGCTCGGGAGCGGTCGTCGTCTGATTTGTAGCAGGATCAACATCCGCGGCGTCCTCGTCACCATCTTCAGACCCTATTACAGCGTCAATATAACCACCCGACTCTGGTTCCGCGACAAGTCCTTACCTCTTGTTCTTAGTGTTGTTCCTGGCGTTAGGGAGGATTCCGCGAAGCTGTCGAAATCGACACCACAGAAGTATTTGTGGCTCTTAATCTCGTCTGCTCCATCCTCCCTGATATCAATTGTTATCCAATTCCGGGCGGAGCTGGGAGATAGTCGAAGCGGAAGTGGACTTTGACGATGTCTGGCAAGCCACTGTTCTTTAGCATGGAACAGTCGTGCAGCATGCTCGAAAGCTCAACATTTCGATTCGGTTGTTGTCGAATTGCTCAATTCCCCCCTCAAACAGTTGGTCGATGTTCTTCTTCACCTCAGCCTGAACATCTGCTTCGAATCTAGCGTTGTAAACTGGTTTAAACACCAGTTATTTGTAGCAGCTGTATTCGCACGCTCGAGTAGAAACGATGGTTGAGCGAATAGGCAGGCGTGGAGGTTTGTGCCGAAGCCTTGGGAGATTTCGTTAGCTTTCAAGACTTTTTGCGGAGATGAACAGACGAGGAAGCCCCTACCTTTCACCTGTCTGCTTGTAGAAGCAGTAAAAGTTTCGGATTAATTGATCGACCGTCGTCCACCCACGGGGGGAGGTAGCTTGGTGTGTGTTCGCTCGGTGCCGCCACGACGAGGAGACCGTCATCTTGAGCATCCCCCAGCACGGTCTCGGCTTTTCGGCTTCGGCGCTGGGGCAAAGATGGTAGAGCTGGCTGAGAAAACGGAGCTGTTGAATCGGTTGAATATAAAGGAGGGGGGAGAATTGCACGAGAGTGTAAGAAAGGTGGTGGATGAGAAAAGAGAAAACCAGCTGGAGCGAGGAAAGAACCTTTAAGCTTAGTTCGAGACTGATGATTATTGCAAGTATGCGGCCGCCCGCCCGCCCGCTTCTCGACTCAAACCAGAGAAAGTAAATCCACCGCCCAACGATTATTAACAACTTACTTGCTTAACACACGTTGCAATATTAAAATATGCAAGATTCTTAATAATAAAAAACTTCTAAAATAGCGCCACTCTAATACTCACTTTAAACTCTGCTTAAATCCTGGGCGCTACTCCAGTACTCACCTCAAGTTCTGCTGTCACTTCAAAGCCGCTGTCACTCCAGTACTCACCTCAAGTTTTGCTGTCACCTCAAATTCTAGGCGCTATTCCAGTACTCACCTTAAACTCAAAAGCTGATAAATTTTGATAAATTCTGATAAATAATTTGATGAAGGAGTGAGGAGGTGAGGAGGTGAGAGGGTAAGAGGGTAAAAGGGTGAAAGAGTGAGAAAATGAGAGAGTAAAACTTATATTTTTACTTAGTTGCTTTATTTTAAGAAAGAAGGAAAGGGAAAGGTATTTATTTGTGTTACTTGGACTCTCCTAGCAGTCAGTTTGTCTACGCAGAAGCAAGCAAGCTAGCGAACGAACGCCTGTCTCCACGTCTCCACGTTTCCACCATGTACATGTACCATGATCACATGCGGGCTCCCTCCTAGCTCCTCCCAGCTCCTTTTGGCATCCAAATCGAGAATGAATGAATGAATGAATGAATGAATGAATGAATGAATGATTGACTGATTGATTGATTGATTGGCAGTCCACTCTGTCTGGAACGATTGATTGACTGATTAATTGGCAGTCCACTCCCTCCGTGGCAACTAGACTTTCACGCTATCTGTGTCACCTGGACTTTCTTGGCAGTCTATTTGCCTAGAAGCAAGTAAGCAAGCGAACGAACGCCTATCTCCACGTCCTTCTCTTGAAATGGTATGTGTGCATAGCTTTGATTGACTGATCTGCTGGCTCATATAGCAGAGGGCTGGCTATATATATACACAGAATAGGCCTGTGGGCCCTAAAGTAGTCTATGATTCATAGTATAGTTACTATGACATCATGTGACATCACACTTATTAAGTGATATTCCAACATTTATTTCTTGCGTTATTGCCTTGCTTACAAAGATTACCCCAGGTATTAATCGCGTTTTCTTGCGCAAGCGTTCTGCAAGTGACCTTGTAATTATTCATCCATGCTGGTAATGCAGCGAGGAATTTGAGCGCCTTGTGGCTTTCCTGGCGATCTTTTGCGTTCGGATTGGCATAACTTATTTCGATACCGTCGACTGTTTAACAGATCAGATCCATGACTTGACGTACAGACGGACTATCATTTTAACTCCGTGTTAGCATTTATTGATAAAAAAAAAACCCAGCTATGTATCTCATACCTCATCCTTCCCAACCGTAACCTCCACTATAAACTCCCGCTCGTTCTCCTCTAATATATTGACTTTGAGATGGAATCGCATAGCCGGATTTTCTATTAACTCGACCTTGCGCGTACAATCCAACTCGAATGTCAAGTTTTCGACCGTGACCTTCAAAACCTACATCCCAGGTACACTGTGCTCAATTGTGAGGCCTTTCATCTCCTGCTGTTCACCACCGGTACACCCTTTTATTCAGATGTCTGTCTCCACTGCCTCTACCGTCGGACTCGTTTCGGAAAACCGCCCACTTCATGATAAATGGTGGGATTCTCTCTATCGTTGAAAGGCCGTCGACTAGCATGAAAGGTATCGAGGTCTGGGAGCCAATCATAATATAGTCCCACACTTCTCGTAAACCAACCAGAATCACGGCGGTTCTGGCATAAGAACCGAAGTCTTTTCACTCGGCGCCATTTGCCAAAAAATAATGAGCTGGGCAGCAACCATGAGGCTCTCCGTGGTCCCGCTAGTTGAAGGATTAATATGACACTATTTATCACGACGCGATTCTCCGAGACGGGTCCAACGGTAGGACATTGTTACTGCTTCGATAGAGAGCGTCGATGACTTCTCACTTTACTGCAGGCTCGTATTGAGCTTTAATGGGGGCGTCGACGTTCACTCCGCTGGTAAGACGCCACCTTGTCACGTCCGCATTGCTTCGATGGGGAGCATCGATGCTCACTCGCCAGCCAGGATTCAATGGAGGCGTCGATACTCATTCCCTGGTAGGCTCGCATCGCATTTGCTTCAATAAAGGCCAGAAACTAGGATTCGTAGGAATCATACGACTAGGGCAGTAGGAGAATTACTTTCTCGCCTTCCCGCATTATCAATATCTTTGTTTTAGCTCGGGTGTTGGCCACAAGACTTTGGGGGCAATGGAATATGTCCTGGAAAGTCTTTTGGATTTAACTGCTTCAGGCAATCGAAAAGATCCCGGCACCAACAGAGTGGGAGACATGACATGGTGAACAAGAAGACTGGGGAAAGGGGAACCCCGTCAATGAGACCCCCTGAATCATGCCCGAAGTAAAGTCAAAGAGGAAGCAATTTGTTGTTCCAAACCTAACCTTGTTACTGCTTCGATAGGGAGCGTCGATGACTACCATGTGATAGCATTGCTTCTCACTTTATTGCAGGCTCCTATTGGGCTTCAAATGGGGGCGTCGACGTTCACTCCCTGGCAAGATGATCACTCCCTTGTCAAGTCTCGATGGGGTGTCGATACTCACTCCCCAGCCAGTATCGCAATGGAGGCGTCGATGCTCACCCCGAGTCAAGCTCGCTTTTCTTTTCTTTCTTTGCCGCTAAGTAGCAGGGAATATTCCACCGAAATGCATTCGCGGAGTCGAGGCTCAATCCCGTCCAAGCAATAAACATATTCGACGCTCATCTCTATCATCTAGGAGCTTTAGCTACTGAAACTCTCCCTTTACAGGATTCAAACTTTTTTCTCAAGGCATTTTCACCATCCTGAAAGGGCTTCTTACAGTCTTTGCTGGCCTCGTTCTTAATATCGGGCTATTACTTCACCGATCTATACAACTTTTTCTGAATCATTGTCCTTCCCTTTATGCTTTGGCACCGGCGCTATCGCTCGCCCACAGGTCAAATTCTCCTCCTTGAGCCTCTTGTAAGATATTTAATTCCTATATCTTTTATATATAGCTAACTAGTATATTCAAGTAAAGAAATCTCCACGGCTGCGTATTCGTTCTATATTTCTCCGACTCCTTCGATGGCCTCGCAATTGGAATTCCATCCTTTTCCTCGCCTACTTACAGAACTTCGATTGCATATTTGGGCGCTTGTATGCAAGAAACCTCATATCGTCTCTGTTGAACACTTGAAACACTTTGTTAGAACTACATTCGCGATAGAAGACGCCATGGAAGACGAGGAGGAGACCGATCAAACCGAAATCATAAAACATTACAAATTTCGAAGCTATCCACCAAGTGTTTTACAAGTCAACCGCGAGTCTCGCGAGCATGCTTTGGAATACTACTAGCTTTTCTTTTCCGAGGCTCCAAATGGTCAACCGAACGCGTACTTCAACCCTCATATCGATACGTGCTACATCGCTCTTGCAAATCAGTCTTACAAAATCCAACGTATAGATGACAGGACACGCTACGTTGCTCCTTCAGACGAGCTTAGCAACAACCAGGCTTGGAATTTTGAGCACTTAGGCTTCGCTGTTGCGACGCTAGGTCGCCCGTCAGAACTTCCCGGCGTTCCAATAGTCAAATTTATGGCTGTCGATGAAGGCTTTCTCCAAAGGAATGAAGGAATGAAGAGATTGAGGAAGCCGGCCTAATCTCTTGAAGGTAAAAGTTGCTGACGCCCTTGAAGGGAACAGCGAAATCTACTGCACGCACACAGAGCTTGATCGAAGGTGAGGTTGCAGGAAGTTCTTCAAAGTGCACGAAAGACAATTCAATTGCAACGTTTGTTAACGAGGAGGTCGCAAAGGCTCATCGGCTGAATCGTACCGTCGCACCACCGTATTATTCAGACCATTCTCCAGAGGCAGACCCTTTGAACTACCGGTGGCACTCTCCAGTGGATGGTATTTAAGTGAGGCCCCAAGAAGTTCTCTCTTACATATTATTGACGCCTTAATAGAATTTGTGCCAAGACGTACTACGGGCCGTTCCGGACCATGATACAGGAAGTGCGTTAGAGAGACACTAAATCATATGAGTTTTGTTGTGGCCTGACAAGGCAAAAAGATATCATTTGGTTAGGTTCCGAATATTCACCGGCGAGAGATCGGGCCCAACAATGGTGACGCAGAAAGTTTTCCATCGCGATCCTCCCTTGCACTTTCTTCCAATTCGGCACATAAACGAGAAAGTTATGGCAGCGGCCAACAAAGGACATTTACATGAAGAAGAGCTGACTGGCGATGCTCAGAAAGCAGCCCAAAAGTGTCGGGAATTTCTCCTTCAAGCGCGATACCGGCATCAAGGGGACTACGAGATCTGCAACGACAGTGGTCTGAAGGAAAATTCGAGGGCTTTCTATGCAGAGTTTGCACCACTTGTAAAGGTATATATTTGGCAAACAGAACTAAAATTTGGCTAATTTGCCGTTTAGACACAAAATAGCGGCGAGATTCGACTCACAGCTCTACGATTTACAAAACGGGCAACTTTACCAGTGAAGGCTGGAGCGACTATAGACCTTATTCCTGTCATCATATCCCAAAGCCCGACGGTTTCGAACAAGACTTTGAGGTTGGGATGGTCCTTGCACTTGACCCAAGATGAGATTGTGGAACTAGAGTGTTACTGCCTCGCCATGTCGACTTAATAGGGTTACGACATCGGAGTCGCGTTAGTAGTGATAGTTGGAAAGGAGGGGTTCCACAGATCATTAAACGAGGCATCCATAGGGAGCGAGGATAACTATAGGCTGTCAAATTCCGGGTACTGGAAATCCATCACTTTCAACGTTGTTACTACACGAGTAGGAAATCGAGTATTCAACAGTCTCCATACCTTGATCGAAGTTGCCCAAATTGTTGTTTATATGGCTCACCGCCGCAATTAAGCCTGCCGAGTGGCTTGCTTCACATACATTAGCTTCCTCCACGCGATTTGAGGAGTGTGTTAGGACCTACCAAGTTGACTGTCTGACCTTCCTGTCGTCTCTACTTCTGTGCCCATAGCGATCCCATGTTGAACTGGTATCAAGCTGGGGTTCTGCGGTGTTTGATGTAGGCTTCCAAGTAATACACTAGCAGTGTCTTTCGGGTTTTGACTTGGAGTCGCTGCTCTGACTGACCCATGTTGAGGACTTGCAACCACTTCACTGCCGCAAAGACTGTTTGGTGGTTTTGGGATCTGACGCTTAGGTTCACCTGTATCTTCTTTTTGCTTTCGTTTCCGTTTCCGTTTCCGTGTCTGTTTACATGCGTCAGCCTCTAATATTGGTTTAAGCCACATAACTTACCGTTTGTATTTGCGGTGGCTTATATTGAAGAAAGTATGAATCCAGCTTTGCTTGAATTATGGTCCATATCTTTTCTCCTAGAACATAGCAACGTTGGATATCTTTGTCTTTTTTGTCGTCAATACTTTGAGCCTTGAGGCGTGCAATAGCATCTTTTCGTATATCTCCATTTGGAGGAATTCGTTTAAGCCTAGAAAGCCTTTAGTAAGTGTTCGGTTATGCTTATCGTATTTGCCATTCACTTGTAACTCGAGATGTCGTCGGGCATACAAATCATCGAGCCTAGTCCCCCAAGTTCCTTCGATAGTGAATCGTACTTTTTACTATTGGTCGCCTAATGTTTACTTTGTCCTCCAACTTTTATATCATTTCTTTTGACGTTAATACGACCGAAGAATTTAGTTTTAGTTTCGGAGTTTGCGTGAAGTAGGCGAATATTGGGCCTGATTACTAATCTATAAAGTGCGATTTGAAGGATTCGTAAGCGTATTGCTTTCACGATCGATGACTGGATATCGATATGGTCTAAAGCTAAGTAGAGTCGGGAGGGGAAGTTTTGTGAGGAATTAAGGGGAATTGTGGCCTTTAATGTAAAAATGGACGAAGGATTGTTTTCCCAAAACTTTAAGTGGGTGAGGACGATTTCCGGAACTGTGATAATTTCCGAATTCCATTGATTCACCTTTACCCAATCAAAAAGAGAATATTTGCATTTTGCTTTCTAATATAGAGGAATCTTTTTCTATAATTTTAAAAAGTTTTTTTAAAGTTTTATGATAAAAATTAGATTAATTTTCGACATATAGTTATATTCGAAGTAATACTTGTATTGTTGTTATCGTTATTTGAACTTTTTAAAAGCTTGTTAATATTTTTTTTAAAATCAGAGATCTCTTGGGACAGAGAAATCTGTGTTATGAGGGCGAGCGGTGAAAGACGAGTTGGCGTTGCAGTTCCTAGTTAACCTGCCACTTGCCAAATTTATGTTGACACTCGGGTCGGTTGGACACATGATGGCCTGGCACGCTAAACCGTTTGTTGCTAAAATTATTGGTTGCCTACAACTTTAGCAACAAACGATTTAGCGTGCTAACAACAATTCGCGGCCCAAATATTCCGATGACTAATGCCTTAAATACGGACGAGTTAGAACTAAGCAATAATAGAAAAAGCATTTAATTGGCTATGTCTATAGTATTTTATATTTGATTTTATTTATTATTATTTTTCACGAGTTTGATTAACTATAAAATGCAAAAGCTATTGTCCATATGCGATTTAGTAGGAGTGGCAATCAAGTTCAAGCAGCAGTGCATTTGGAGGTCTTAACTCGTAATATTATATCTTCTCCAACGTGGGTATTTAGTTCAATATATAAGTAGAAGCTGCAGAACGAGGCAACCTGCATACGCCCTCCTCGTCTGCCGCTACACTGTCCGCCTCACTTCATACTCTCGTTGATCCTACTGCAGACAAGACGAGGCATCCGAATGTGTCTCGCTGCAGGCATACGCACCTTTACCTACCATGTCGGATCTTCCTTCTCATTTCGATGCCACCCTATCCGAGAGGGAGACGTCATCCGATTTCATACCGAATCCTGATGCGATAGAGTACCGGTTTGGATCTTCGGACACATTGGTGAGTTGTGTTGTTGATTGTTGTACTTTGCTACCCTGACTGTGCGCTTAGGTTGCACAGCTTGTTAAAGAATTACCCGTCACCATTACTGTTGAAAAAGGCCATGTTTGCAAGCACAAGGATCAGTCGTACGGCGTTGGATTCAAAGTCAACTCTGTAGAGTCAGGAGTCTTCCAGATTCAAGTCTACGATCGATCCTTTGATATCGAGCTCGATGCACTGGGGGCTTCCTGGACAGGGAGGTGGGTGCTTTTCCGACACTGGCATTGGATTCGACTACTCCGGGCTTTCTTGGCGCACCGAGAGGTCGCAGGGTTTCACGTGGAGTATGAAGGGCGAGGTTGGTATATCATTCGAGGCAGTTGTTGTTTCCATGCCACCAAGGTGTCCAGGGCAGAACTGGAGGAGTGTTGGGTGGGTAGACTCGCGCTTGCAGAAAGCCATCAAGGGTGGAGGTGGCTGGTTTTGGAGTCGTTAAGATGGCATTTCATGACTTCGGGACTCGGTTGCTTTTTCAAGAGCGTGGTGGGATTCTGAGTTCGATGTCTCTAGAGACTCGCAATTGAATATAGTGTCGATTTTTCCCGTATATAGATTGATGCGGATCAAATCCTAGTTTTTCTCTGGGACTGATATTGCTTTTTGGTATTCAGTTTCAACGTGTATACCAACCTTAGTCATGTGCATAATTTGGCATTGCACTTATGATACTTATAGCCACGTGAGCCCGCCATCCCAAGAAAGTCAAGCTACGTGGTGGCAAGGAAAAGTACTTTCTTTTCTAGCAGCTTTTCACATGATACACTTTATTCACGTACGGATCGCTCGGCATTCGCACCTGAGGGCAATTAGGGACTTAAGGTTGGCCCGAACAATAGCTTATACTACTCCATTTTGGGAGGCTGTGCTTCTTTCCAACTGAGCCGCCGTGTCCTGCATACGCCCTCTATTGCTCACTATTGCACCCTGTGTCTGCCTCACTTCATTCTCCAACTAAATTGTTCAGTGATCCGATACAATCCACGACCCAGCGAAATCAGAAGGTGTGCCCAGTCGGGATACCTACTTAAAGGTGTCTGGTACCTCTCGAATTTGAAAAGACAAATTTGATTATTCTTTATCTCTTTCCTACACGCGCGAGAAGTCAAAGCCTCATCACAGAGTGAGTCTAAACAAACTGTCTATATGTTCTAGTACTAATTGTATGGCAAGCAGTCTTATATCTATCTAATCATTACACACGTAAGTTGCGAATTAACTTTAAAGGATAGAAAATTTAATATGTGAGAAAACAGATCGAAATGGATCAGATCACCACAATCTGTAGCCTTACATACTATGAATGCCCAACCTGTGGATGTAAATGGCAACAATGTCGTCATAAAGATTCAAATCGTTCAATAGGTGGAAATTACTGTGGGACGGATGAAGGACATCGCAGTTGCATGAGAGAAATTGCTTTCAATAGTTGGGAGAGTCGGGGTGAAGAGTAAGAAGAAGACGAAGGCTTAGCAAGGATCATTTCAACTTGGTGGTTCCCCGGGACCGAAGCATATTTGGTGGTCTAAGAGGAGATACTAGCTTCAATATAAGTGATGACTCGTACACATAGAAGTCCTCGAATATCTTTAATTTTGTTTGAGTCGACGTGAAAAAAAAAACATAATCGAACGTGTTCCAAATTAAATCTCAACTAAAATAAGAGTAGTGCGATATTCGCTTACTGATCCGGGACAATTATAATTGGGGGCCAAATAATGGTGGTGTTGATATTCGCTTACGAACAAAGGCAGCTAAGCCTCAGAAAAATGTTTAAGCCTTATCGGGTAATAAATAACCTAAGGGACGCACGCGACTTCCCCCTATTATTATGGAGCACACATCGCTACGCCAATGCAACACCACACAGCCTGCGAATCATGGCTGAGTTAATAGAGCGAGTTCGACGAGAAGGCTGTGAAGAGACTAGAGCGAGTCACCACACGGCAAGATGCATTCAGGCGCTCGTATTGTTTCATTTTGACTAATGTATCAGGACGCCGCGTTCGTGTCTCCAAGTTCTTGTTGCATGCGTTGTGATGGTTGCACCAAGGAATTCTTTTCCTGTATTTTAATTCAGTATGTATATGACGGTCGATCCAAAATTCCAAGACTTCCTTACCTTGGTTGAGCTAGCGCCGTTGCCACAGATCTATTGTGCACCCAGCAAGCAAGTCATTTTCTTGATCTAATAGGCGGTAAGCCTGGCGTTGATTCAGAATCTAGGAGTGGCATCCGATGTGTGGCCATCGACGGTACCTTGTCGACAGCATGCGCGTTCGGCACCAGAAGGTCGAAGCGATGGCATTCGATGGGTAATGAGAGAGAGTTCTTGGCAGCGATCATCAGCATATACCGGGCAGATTCATGAACATGTCTTTGAGATTATGAGATAACTATTTTCCCAGGTCTACTCCTCCTCACGTCTTTCCGCCAAAAGAATTCGAGGATGTTGCTCTTCCCACTTTTCAGCCAACTTCATCCAACTCGCCGCTATCTTTTTTGCTCAATCGCAAACACAAAGTTGCTCACGCTTTGGATCAGCCCAAAAAAATTTCCCCCCACTCCGAACCAGTGTCATGTTGCTGCGAATCTAAGCTTTGTTGGTGCAAGGGCGACAAGTTTTGAGTTTGCAGTATTTGCACTCGAAAATGAACCAGTGCGGGCCGCTATGGCACATAGAGGGGCGTTCCTCGGGATGGGTCTAGAGGAACGCTAGCTGAGATAATTTTCCTCCCCTTTGGTTTAATGATCAATTGGGGCCTTTCCAACGATAAAGCCACTTCGGTTATGTTCACGAAAGGAAAACTAACTAAATGTGGTAGTAAAGACACTTTGTTTAGCCCCTCCCTTCCTTTATTATCTTACCTGCAGCCGCTCAGTTCCCGTTATCGTGTCTATCCCTCATTTGTTGAAGGAATCACTCGCTGCTCTAACTCTTTTATGCTCTGACGGGGATTGTATTCGAGTTTAAAAGTGGACTCTGCAACTCTACATTGTAATTTCGACCAAGCAAAGACTGGCGTGGTCTATCATTATTTAGAGTCGCATATAATACTTGAGCCTCATCTTTTTTCCGGGCTATAAGTCCGTCCACGTTTATAGTTGCGAATATGCCGATATCCCCTTGATTTCCAACGCAACCAATACTAGTGAAGTCAGTGACGCAACAACTCCGACTACAGGTCAGTTTAGAATTCAATCATTTTATACAAATCTCTCGTACTCTTGAAGTTATACTTCATATAATAGCATCGATAATTAACTAAGTTTATAAATCACAGGATATTTTTTGTCGAGGTTCAATGTATTCGTTGACAAATCTACCATATAAAATCCTATTATATATTATTGGCCATTTTAGTTTACAAGATATCTATTATTTTAAACAAACGAACAGCGGGTTCAAAATTATATTTAAGGAAGAATCAATGTGCAAGTCAATTCTCCAAGTAAGCTGTCCGCAAATGCGTACGTATAGTTATTAAAAGTATCTTTTGATTGATTCGTGGGCCAGACAAAGTTGTGGTATTTTAATAAAGCTTTTGCAACGACGAAAACAAGCGGCGGCAATACTCGTAACTTAAGAATAGTATGGAAGCGGCACAAAGCTTTTACTACTACTTCGCCTTTCATTGTCGCCAATATCGGCTTTTGCGATGCTTACCTATATTCCAAAGGCGTTTTATGCTATATAATTGATGATAAAATTCGCGTCCTTAATCTTCACTATTCTGGCCAAATTGAATTTATAATCGATATACCTTCACTTCTTTCGCATACGAGTCTGGATATCAACGGCATTAGTATGTTAAATTGTACTAAGGAGTAGTAGTAGTAGAGATGATAAAATTGCTTATTATATTTAAAACTATATCTAAAGGAATTCTATCAGCATTTTATAAATAAATCCTTTTTTTCTTTTAATTATAATTATTTATTTCCGGTGATATATAAAGAAATAATATATTAGTTTTTATTATTATTAAAATAAAAATTAAAGCAAAAAAATTATAATTTAATTTAAATTCATTTTTATAATTATTAATAATAATAGAATTTCTTTTTGCTTCAAAATGATAAATATTAGTTATTAGTAATTAAACCGTTAGTTTAAACATTGTTTTAATAATTTTCAATATTTGGAAGAAAATCTTAAACTATATTTAAAAAAATTGAAATTTTATTAATTATTTCCGAACTTTTAATATTTTTAATTTCTTGAGAAAAATTTTCATTAAAAATAATAATTTTTTTTTAATAATTTTATTATTTAATTTCTTTCTTAATTATTTAAAAATTTGTATATATATTATAAAGCTTAATATTTTAAAACGTGAAATATTAGGTTTTTTATTATAATAATTATAAAAAAAGTTTCGTGAATTATTAAACTATAATTACGTAAATAATTAATAGTTTTTAAAACTTTTTTTTATAAATTCTTAGTAAAATTTGAATTAATAAATAAAATAAAAATTATTTTAAATAAAGTTTTTTTTTATTTTTTATTTAATTTATTTTAATTAAAAATATAAAAAATAATAAATTTTTAAGTTATTTCGTGTAATTTATAAAAGTTTCTAAAATTTTTATTTTTATATTTTTTTATATTTTTTCTTTAATTTAAATTTTAATTAAAACTTTAAATTCTTTAAAAATATTAAAAGTTTTATTTTTATATTTTAATAAATAAATTTATAAATAATAAGTAAAATAATTTAATATTTATTTAATATAATAAAAATAATAAGTTTTATTATATTATTAAATATTAATTTAAATTTTTTTTTAATTTTTTATAAATAAAACTTTAAATATTTGCTTTATTTATTTTCTATAAACACAAAATTTGCAAAAATTAAAAGTTTTAATTTTTAAATTTATATTATTTAATTTTAATAATTTATTTAAATTATTTTTATTAAAATATTTTAGTTTTTTATATTATACATTAATATTTGCTTTTAAATTATTATAAAAAACTTTATATTTTTATAAATTTAAAACTAATAAATTATTATTTTTAATAATATATACTATTTTTATATTATTTTTAAATATAATAATATTTTAATTTAAAAATAATAATTTTTAAAATAAATAATAAACTAATTATTAATTTAAAAATATATAAAATATTTTTAAAAATAATATAATGTTTTTTTTAATCAAAAATTAATATTTTTTATTTTAATTATTAATAATAATAATAATAAAATTAATAAAATTAATATTTAAAAATAAATATAAATTTTTACATATATATTATATAGTTTCGAAGTTTAAAACTTAATTATTATCGTATTTTTTAAACGAATTATAATTAATAAAATATTTTTCATTATTTATTAATTTTTTATAATAAATTTCTAATTAAAATAAAAAGAAAAAAATTATATTTATTTATTTTAATTATAAAATTAAATTTTTTTTATTTTTATAATATTTTTATTATTATATTTAAAATTATTTTAAAAAAAAAATTTTATATTTTTTTTTTATATTTTTTAAATAATTCTGAATATTTAAAAAAAAAATTTTTAATTAAATGTTTTTTTATAATAAATATATTTAAAAATATTATAATTCTTAGTAATTTTATCGTTATTTTTTTTTAAAAAATTTTTTTTAATAATAAAAATAATAGTTTTTATTTTATTTATATTTTTAAGCTTTATTTAGTAATTTAAATATAATAGAGTTTATTTTAATAACTTTAGATTAACGAAATTGTTAAATAATTTAAAAAGTCTATTCTTTATAATTAAAGCTTAAATTATTTAAAAAAATAGAAATAATTTATTAGTTTAATATAATATTTTTTATTTCGAAAAGTTGTTGAAAATACTGCTTTATTTTATTAATATAATCGTTTATATTTATTACGTCTCTACCCTCACCCTGTGTGAAGTCACTGTTACGATCACGGGACTAGTGGACCATAGGCTCGGCAAGCGGGGAGTCTCGACCTGTGGTGGGCCCTGGGTCACGTGGTGGATCATAGGGGATCATGAGGGATCGAGCGATCCACTACGATCCAGGAAACGGAGGTCCTATATAGCGGCGAGTTGTCACTCACTGGGGAGAAACTCCGTGCTCAACTTGATTAAGTTTCCTAACTACAATATCATTGCCTTATCTTACTTCATTCACCATACCAACCCACGTGACCTTACCAGGGTAAGGAGAGAGTCGTGACAGTCACGTGGGTTAGTATAGTGAATGAAGTAAGATAAGGCAATAGTATTTGAAGTCAAGAATATTAACGAAGTTGAGCACGAAGCTCCTACCTAATGGGTAACAACCCAGAGTTATATAGAACCCGAGTGCTGTGGAGTAAAACCCCCTCCTAGAGTTTTACTGTACCTTAGAGTTTGTCACGGGTTGGATGCAATGAGTCAAAGCAAGAACCTGATTGTATTACAAGAAGAATTAACTAAAGAGAGAAGAGTTCTTTCTCGTACGAAGAGCTGTTTTAAAGGGGCTCTCGCTGGTTCGTAGAATGGCCCGCGCGCTTTAGCGTCGCGTCGTCATGTGCAGGCCCGCGTAGTCACGTGTAGGCTGCACTACGTAGTAGTGCAGCCAAATATCGGGTTCAACCCGTCACAGAAGTAAACACTCCGCTTCTCTGAATACAGCCACTTTAGAAACTGTGCCAATCAAGCTTTCCCGGGCTCCGAGTAGTTGATATATGCAATCAGGGAAAGGGATGTGGATTGGATTTAGTTGCCTTTCCCCACTTCTACCATGCACCGCATTTGAATCAACTAGAAGCTCTTAAGCCAGTACTAATCGATTATTAAGCTTCGGGCATCTAGTACGGACGGCTGATCAAAAGTACTTTTCTGCATGCGTGCATCACTCGGCATCAACCTTTCTTTTCCTGATGAGTCACAAGCTTTCGGTACTCCCTCGAAAACAGATGAACCGGTAGGCATCAGCCCCTCATCAATCAATAGCGATACCTAGTCCAAAACTCAACACTTTGCCATCGATCTTTCAGTCGTTATTATGGAACTTTCCCACATCCTCTTATCAGCACCATCCGCATACCCCCAAGCGTCCACAATCCAAGAGTCCTTTCAGCAGGCGAATACGGACGAGTCCGAATCTCTAATACCACCCTCGAGAAAAGCAAGCGAAGCTGACCAACAAGCTCGTACTCCGCTCCCTTCCACCATCAGCCAGAAGAAGCGTATGATGAGTATTCACTCTGACCAGCCGACGGCCAAGAAGAACAGCATTTGGTCGTCCGAGGAAGACTCTTTGATCGTCAAGTTACGAGGTGGTGGGCTTAAATGGGAAGACATTTCCGAGAAAAGTCCTAGGACGCAGTGCTACTAGCTGCCGGCTACGTTATCAGAATTACCTAGAAAAAAGGCCTTTGGATGAGGAAGAGAAGAATAGTTTTGCAAGATACTATGAAACGTACCACCCTCAAAGAATAGCTGTGTTGTAGAGAACTGACTGGACGATGCAGCTTAAAACAGGAGATGTGGTCTCGAATGGTAGAAAACATGGGTATCCCATGGCGTGTACTTGAGGCAACACACTGGGAACTTGGTGCCGAGGGCATAGCACATCGATCGCAGTTACCTGTAGGAATCCAAAACCATAATAGTGGAGCAGAACGAGAAGGCAGACACATTGTGAGGGGGATTATTCGCACGTTGAAACCAGGAGAGAGCATCACGATCGGGAGATAATATAGTGAGGATTTCTCGTTCTTTTTCTGATGATAAACGTGGTGTTCTCCTGTGACTCGCTCTTCTCACTTCCTCTTCCTCTTCCTACGGCTAAACTTCCTCCTGTTTCAATTGCTGACGAGCACGCTTCAGTTCCTCGCGATACAACCGGGCACGTTTGAGGATGAATTGAGCAGTATCAATTCTCACCCTGGTGGCTGAGATCTCAGATGAAAGAAATCCTTCGTAAGAAGCTGGCTCCAGTGAGTGATGTGTTGATTCGCGTTCCCTCGCTCCAACCTGGTCACTCAAACGATAAAAATGCTTGAGCATTGTGCCAACATGATACGCTCGGCGTTGATTGAGGCGTGTCTGAATGCGGTCTCCACGAGGATGTTGGCGAAAAACAACATCATCACCCAGAATGTCGTTGATGCTGGTTTTCTTTTCGTCGGCAAAGTCATGCTCATCAATAATCCAGCGCAGGTGCGGGGGCACGATGCTTTGGGCTACGACTCCAGGCTCCTCCTCAGGTTCTGCTGAATCATCAGAGTCGCCAACATCCACCACGATGGTGTCCGGATTTTCTATGTCACTGCCTTCAGCCAAGCTTGTCTTTCTCTTTCGAGGAGGGGAAGGGGAAGACCTCTTCCACTTCCACGGCGCAGAAGCAAAAGGCCACCAAGACATCCAAGGCTACTCCGAAAACTTGGGCTTGATCGATGATGGGGCGTTACCGCTGTGTTCCTGGTTGTAGTGTAGTTCCCTTTGTTTGCCTAGCCTATAAAGAAACCGCCGGTTGAGAGAAGGTGTAGCAGCTGTTCCTCCCTGCGGCCGTGAGTCCTGCGTTCCATTCTGCGGGTCCTGACACAGTGTCAGCGAATATTAAGTCTCTGGGAGACGTGAACTTACCTCGTTAGGCTTCCTTGTGGTCTTCTTCTTCTCATGCTGCGGATCACTACCGTTGGGAGCAAATTCCAACTCATCTGCGGAAGGCGACTTGGGTGGTTCAATAGCTGGCGTCTTTCTCTTGTTCTTTCGAGGCGGTTTCTTGGCGGTGGGACCAGTATCCATCCTTTCGTGGTGCGTTGTAGAGGTTTGCTTTGGATGAGGATGATCGAGCTTCAAAGAGAGAATCCAAGGATTGCCACTTGAAAACAGACCTTCCAAGCCCTTATATTTATCTCTGCCGATTCTTCTGTTGGTTCTTCAGCTCCGTACCTCTCAGAACCTTGACAGTACTTATCATCACAGTGGACGATGGCGTCTCATCGCAGCCTCCTCCATCGCAACCCACTCAGTCCGCCGAGACGGGCGCCACGAACACTGTTCAGAAACCTGATGCCACCATTGTCGCTTCAGAGGTCGATGCCGTCAATGCCGACTAGAAAGACGCGTCGGGTAGCTATCGTGTCGCAGATTTTATTCCGTTGAAGAGATGGTGCTCCAGCCTAAAACCCGTCCGGTATCTATCCAACAGTTGGTTGCCGAAGTCAAGGGCATCTATGCGGGCTTGGTTATGGTCGAAGCAAAATGCATGGAAGTAGACAATCGCCTGGCCTCCAATAGCGTCGACGACCACAACGATGCACAGTTCCAGGCTCTTATTGCCCTCCACCGTACATTGCAGCACGAGCACCATGAATTCTTCTTAGAGGCATCACAACACCCTAGTGCATCGCGGTCACTCGGACGCCTCGCCAGAAGATATGACATGCCTGGGAGAATGTGGCGGCACGGCGTACACCTATTTCTGAAAATCTTGCGCCACCGAATGAACGGTCTAGGGAAGCCATGCTGAGTTTTATAGTGTGAAGTTTGCAGGGCGATCGCATAGCGGACCTGCCCGGATGCAGACACTAGCGCATGCAATATTGCATTCGATGAAGTTTTTCTTACCGGATACTGAGAGCACTTTGAGGCTCTACTAGGCCGTCTGCAATGCTAAGAGGCCTCGCCCCGTTCTTTAGGCGAGGAAGGGAAAAGGACTAACAAATTTGAATATGTAGCCGTGTATTATGGCAGCATTTCCGACCGGTTCCCTAGTCCGATTCTTTGAAGTTGGATGTCGTTATGAATACACTGTTTTTTATTGCGAGGAATAATAGCTTGACTCCAATTAATATGTCTTTTTTAGCTTATGTAATTTTTTAGTTAATTTTATACTCGAAAAATTTTGGTGAGTTAAAACCTAAGGCATTAGATTTATTATTAGACTTAATTTTTTTTATATGGTTTCGAAGATTTTCGTAAATCGAGGAGGTGGGGAGGTTGATATTACTCGAGTTTAAAAGTGTAGAGATGGATTTTGTTTTTGGCTAGAAATTGAGGGTATTTTTATAACACTGTATAGGATTTGTGTTGCATTAGCTAGTAGTATGAATTGATTTGGTAATGTACGAAGACTTATTTGTTGATCGTGCTAGTTGTGAATAAATAATAAAATACCGGCGATGAAGATATCATAGAGTTGGGCATCAAGCCGTAATATGTAGTAGCTGGAGCAAGATGGCCGTGGACTTGGGGGTGATGCTTTCGATGAAATGGAATGATAAGCCCCGGGTTTGACCGGAGTGTATGGCCATGAAAGCCTTGCCATGGCACTGTTGTCACGGAACCCTATTCTGCGTTTCCAATAAACCTAACATTCCCAAACGCGATAGGAGCTTCTCAAAGATCGGAGGATTATACGTAGAGATTCTTATTTGGAGAATTGCATAATCGATACGCTATGAACTATTCCTCTAACAATATCCAGCTCCGAACGCCATCAATCTCCATGTCAATGCCCTACTTCCCCCACATTGCTACATAAAAAACTAAAAAAGTAATTTTAATATCTAAGGTGCTAATACACCATGCTGCAATCGCGGGCTACAAACGTATCCAAGAGTGCTTAGCCTCCTTCATGTCCCAAGGTCCAAATTCTATCAATACTTCATCCATATTAATGACTTGCTTCCCCCACGCCGCCTTATCACGTATTAGCGGAGCCAGTTTGACCATTCGAGAAGCTAACACTTTTTTTACCGACATAAAGCCTAGGTGACTTCTTTAAGCCTAATCCGTTTTGGGAGACCAACACTATCGACATAACGGCGGTTTCTTCTTCCTAGTTGCAGCAAGATGCATGGCATCTTGATCAGGAATCGCAAGGTCAAGGAGCATATTGAAGTAAATGAAGTTGTAACAGAGCCCCAGTTTTCACCACTTAATTCCGATTAGTAAGAGCTAAATAAATATCTTCGATCACTCCGCTATATGGCAAGAGAATGGATAAATATAAAAGTATAAATTTCCCCTCGATATTAATCACACTTTTTGAAGCAATATTT